AGTGCATTTCATTAGATCAATTTTGTTTTGTTATAGTTAATTTGTTTATTGTTTGTCTACGATTCACATATATTTCATTTAAATTTGATTTAGTTTGTGTGAAGATTCTTAAACTTAAAATTTTCTGTAATTGATTTATTGCTGCTTTATCTTTGAAATTAAAGTTTGAATAAATGTATAACATTTTATGAACCCCCTAAGGGTTCATGGCGGGGGAGGATGTTTATGCTTAAAGTAGTTTTCAAAATGAAATATACACTGCCCAAGACAAAATTTATGATGGTACCATCAAAGGATTTTGATGGTTTATGTTGGTTTCAACAAGATTCTTGATGGTCCAACATGTGTTGATGGGCACCATTATACAACAATTTCCATCATGGTTTGTTGGTTTTTGATGGACCAACAAATTCCAACATAGCAAGATGGAAAATGTTGCTGTATTGCTATGATGGTAAACCATCAAGTAATGTTGGATTTTTCATGGACCAACAGTAACCATCATATTATGATGGAATATGTTGTATTCCCTTTATGATGGTCAACCAACATGGTATGTTTACTATTGATGGACCAACAACTGTCATCAAAATATGATGGAAATTGTTGGTTTACATTTTTGATGGTCTACCATCAAGTTATGTATATTAATGTTGGCCCAACAATAACCATCATATCATGATGGAATATGTTGTATTCCCTTTATGATGGTCAACCAACATGGTATGTTTACTACTGGTGGACCAACAGCACCATCATAATATGATGGAAATTGTTGGTTTATATTTATGATGGTCAACCAACATGTTATGTATGTTTATGTTGACCCAACAATAGCCATCATATTATGATGGAATGTCTTGTATTCCCTTTATGATGGTCAACCAACACGTAACGTTTATTATTGATGGACCAACAAGTTATTTAGAAACACAAAACGATGACGCACATGTCGGGTTTAACTTAATTAAGAAAAATTTAAATAAGAAAAAAATTTTATTCGCGTGAGTTATAGTCGAATATAGTCTTATGATATTTTGCAATATGGTAGGAATTTGTGGTTTTAATTGCAGAAAATTTAGTAATATGTTGTTAAAGGTTAAAAATTAGTAGTAACTGCAATTGATAACATTAATTTGAATTTTAAATTCAGAAAATAATAAGGCTTCATATCAATATTGATGGGATTAAAAAAGATTCATTCATATGGGTACACGACTGAGAAATTATTAGCACGTGTAGTATTTGAGCATCGTCTCGCGGCATTTTATTGAATGCTTAAAGGTTGTGGTTTAAATTATCAAACGTGTGGTGAAATTATAACGAAGGTTTTAAAATAAATGGTTATTGCAATTCATAACATTATGGAGAATATTAGAAACACCAAACAGGAAGGCTACATATCAGGATTAATTAAATTAACAGAGATTCAAAGAAGATAAAGTTTTTATTCACACGTGCGGTATAGTCGAACATATATTTATGAAACTTCACGATAGGGTTGAAAGTTGTAATTTTAATAGCAAAAATCATAGTAATATGTTGTTAAGGGTATAAAATTTATATTAATTGCAATTAATATCTATAAGGAAAATTTAAATTCAGAAAAACAATAAGGATACATATTAGAATTAATATGATCAAAAAAGATTTATTCATATGGGTATACGACTGCGAGATTAAATTATGAGCATGGTTTAAAATAAATGGTAATTGCAATTCGAAACATTATGGTGAATTTTAGAAACACAAATCAAGAAGGCTATATATCAGGATTAATTAAGTTAAAAAAGATTTAAGTTTTATTCACACGTGCGGTATAGTCGAACATATTCTTATGGTACTTAACAATGGGGTGGAAAGTTGTACTTTTAAATGCTAAAAATGTAGTAATATGTTGCTAAGGGTTAAAAATTGATAGTAACTGCAATTAATATCGTAAAGGTGAGGTTTAAATGCAGAAAATAATAAAGCTACATGTCAGGATTAAGTTAAGAAAGATTCATTCATATAGGTACACTAGTGATAGATTAAATTTTTATGTACACGTGCACTACTTCAGCATTGTCTGGTTATTGAAAGGTTAAGACTTGTGATTTAAATTATTTAACATGTGGTTATTGCAATTAATAACATTATGGTGTTTTTTCAAAAATACAAAACAGTAAAGCAACATGTCAGGAATAATTAAATTTAGAGGATTTAAATAAGGTAAATTTCCTTAGAAATTATGCAATTTGTATAAAAGTTCTATTTAAGGTTAAAAATAAATAGTTATTAAATATAATTAACATTGAGGTAGATCTTCAATTTACAAAAAATTATACGTATTCACAGAAATTAGAACGATTCGTGGATTTAAGTAAACGAGTGATAGATTAAATGCCTTTGATAGAACAAAAGCCTTTATTTGTACTTTTTCTTAAATCGTGCATATTCTAGAAACATTTTACAACGGCGTGGAAATTTACTATAATAAATAAAAATCATTATATATATTGCTTTGGTTGTCGTAGGTCATTAAAGTAAGGGTTGTGTGATTGTACTTGTTTTCCAATCACACAATCTAGGGCCTAGAATTCAACTTCTGCCACACCCATACATCACACCCATTTATATGGCGGAACCCATTCATAAATCCAATCATTCATTCACGGATCCTAATTTTGACCTGAACCAGAGAGCGATCAATCTCCATTCCAGTACCCCCCCCCCCCAGAGATTTAATCTGTTATGAGATCATGGAGAACTTTGTGACCCAACAGATTTAACTTTCAACTGTCACCATTTATTACACGGGGAGTCTTCGAGGGATGGATTCAAATTCCCGTTCTCACGACCGTGAGTCCAGCACCTTGCCAACTAGGCTATCCCGAACTATTATATAAATGAAATAATATTTAGTAATTGCAATGATTAATATATTGAATTTTAAAGTTGCTAAGGAGTAGGTAAAAACTTAAAAAATACTTATTAAATTTATTATTTAAGTATTTTGATGGTGATGTAAACACACAAAATAACTCTGAATAACTTTCGATCTAATGATAGTATTTTCAGATTATAAATTTTCTCTATATCCCTGTACCCATGGTATAGCTAAGAGACCGAATACAAGACTTTCGATTCCTCCGATTTTACGAGATTGTACAAGTCATGTACTCTCGGAGGGTCTTGGCTGAGTCAAGGATCGAGCCCCGAAAGATATTTTAATAGAAAATGAATTTAAAAAAAAACACCTTATATTGCTTTGTTAAAATTCCAGAGTATGCTTTAATTTCTCACAAAAAGTTTTGCATTCTTGCTTCTTATATTAAATAGCATTCGCTCGGTGTGCATGTTTCTTTAGCTTTTCTTGTTGCTTCTATACATTCGACCCTGTGTCAATCGCAATGAGGAGTGCAGTGTGAATGGTACTTAAGTGTTCTTTTCTTGTTGTTGTTGTTGTTGTTGTTAATTTACGTCGCACTAGAGCTGCACAATGGGCTATTGGCGACGGTCTGGGAAACATCCCGGAGGATGATCCGAAGACATGCCATCACAATTTTGATCCTCTGCGGAGGNTACTTAAGTGTTCTTTTCAAATTTTGCGTTTGGGGTGAGCAGCAAAATATCAGCTCAACTTCTTATTGTTTGTTGACTGTTCACCCTCGTGAGGGTTGCAATCACGTAAGTTTTTATAAAATTATTTATTCTTTTAATTATTATATTTTCAGTACCTTTTCTTCTAGATAATTTATAGGGGATATTTCCGTATAGTGATCTGTCGTGCCAACTGCAATTGTCAAGGTACCAAGTAGGTTTTAAACTTGTTAATGTTTTTAAAAATAACACGTAGATGTTTGCCCGGGATGGCTATGAGTTATACCTTTCGAGTTGGACCCTTTCAGTGATGTTTTTTTTGTTTCTCTCGGGACACTGCCCGGAAATTTCAAGACTTGGCGATTAAACTTCCGCTGATCATGGTACGGAAATCTCCATTTATTATTATTCTTTACCTCCTTGTGTAAAAGTGCAATGTTTATTAAAAAATTATGTGGAACTCGAGCTATAAATTGGCTGGGGACAAATCATAAATTCTATTATTATTTCATCTACCATCAGTATTCTTCCTAATCGTTTTTTGAAGGCTCTGCCTGAACTTTGATACCAATAAATCAAGCCCTATTTATAAAAATAAACCGATATCTATTCAGATTCTATCTAACCGCTATCTATAAACTAACTAACTCAGTGGCGCGACAGCCCATTAAGAGGGCCAAGGCCGACTGTGCCCATCTCAGTTTTCTTGACCTTGGGCTCTGGGGTGCAGGAGCATATCTATTCGCTATCCTATTCGCTATCAACATATCTATTCGCTATCAGCATATCTATTCGCTATCAGCATATCTATTCGCTATCAACCGCTATCTATTCCCTACTTTATTCAGATTCAATTTTGAAAACAATTGATTCACTGTTTAAAATAAATAATAATTTAACATTGATAAAATTATCTGTCTTCAGAGGTCCAAGCCAAATTTATTACCGTTTAGCGGTACCTTCAACAATTCAACTTAAAGAAAAGCGGTAGTTTCACAAAATACTTTTTCTTAATATTTTATTTTTGTGTCTCATACGAAATGATAAATCCATACTTTTATGTTGATTTCTTAATATATAATTTTCACAAATTATGTCTAAATTTTCACGAAACAGGTACCTCTCAGAAAAACCTAGACAGTCCCTTGGTCTTTAACATAAACAGTGGGAATTAAAATAAATAAATAAATTTTTTATTGATGTTATCTAGAAGATACTTGTAACATAGAAAATGATGGATAAAATAATTGTGATTAATGCTGTTGAAAGTCTTTTGAATTTAGTCTCTGGTGTAAGATCGTCATTCAGAAGTGAATGCAATTGTCGTACAAGCAATTTTGTTTTTCTCTCATTTTATTGTTATGATCTTCTGTTTCCCCAATCTTTTTTGATAGTTTGATGTGAGCTTTTTTGTTATTCACAATGCACACATCTATATTATGTAAGGCAGTTAAAGATAAAGTATCTAACAATTAAACTACTATAAAACTACTTTAAATTCTCACCTGCTATTTTATCAATTGTATGAAAGACAAATGTTCTGATAGCAATACCCATATTCACATTTTTATTTAGATTCTGTAAAGTGACTGAAAATTTACTACAATTTTAATGTTATTTATTACCATTTTATTATCCTTATACGAGCGTAATTTGCTGAAAATTGTTGTAAACATAAATATTTCTTTTAAAATGTTCATTCCATTCTAAACAAGGTATTTCCTATTTAGGGCAACAAAATGCAATTTATTTTTTTCTATTAATTGACTTTCCTTTCAGTTCATTACTTTGGATGAGTTATAAGGAACATTTGAACGTAGAATCTGTTGATCATAAAGGTTTAGTTTCCATTCATCTGTTTGAGAGGATGGGTAAGTTTTGTTAGTGCAAAAAATAATCATTTTCATTTTAAAATTTAGAATTAAGAAGTTTTTTTAATTTTTCTTCAATTAAATGTGCAAACTTCTTTTTATAATGTCTAACTTTTATTTCATAATCTGGAGTGATTTCTGTGTATCTAAAAATATCAAACTCGAAACTTTCTAAAATATACAAGATCCTGGAAAGCACTTTTGTTTACAAAAATTATAAAAAACCTGAAGTAATTAAGGTTTAAAAATATTAAGGTATCCAATTTACTTGTCGCCATCATACTTGTGAATCAAAATTTCGATATCTGACATAAGTATTAATTTGAGTTTTTGCATAGCATTAAGAGTTGTTATTTGGAAAATTTTCAAAAAATTGCAAATCACAGTCACATAGTGGTTCAGGCCAAAGCTGTAGCATTACTAAAGCCTCATTTAATTTCTAATAATTAATAATGTTTTTGTTTCTCAGTATTCAAAATGATTTTTAAAATAAGATTTTTAATAAAAATTTTATGCGTTTTTTGTAGCATTAGAAACAAAAAGAAAATTCTGTTAAAAAAATTATAAGCTGAGTCAAACGCTTGACATTTCTTTTGGAAATAAATATTTTTAATGTGTCCTATTTTTTCTTACTGTTGTCACTACCACTGCTTTTAATTTTTTTAACTTATTTTGTCTTTTAAAATTTTCTTGAAAAAGTGGAATGTAGTGACAATTTTGTCACCAGATAATTAGTTGAATATTTTGTATTTAGTTAACTGATCGTTTGCTTTTTTGTTAAAGTCTTCGTTTAGGACAACCTTATTATTTCATTACTAATAATTTTTGGAGCATTGAAGTTATTTTTCCGCCTTACTGTTCTGGACTTAAGAATTTGTATTTCTTATTTCTAAGACTTCATAATTTGTTAGAAATTTAATCTTGCGAAAATGAACGAACTTAGTAAGAATCGCATCTCACTTAATGGACATAATTATACAATAAAAACCTCTCAGGAGAGACCACTCTCTGTTCCTCGGTAAAATGGACTTGGGAATGGAGGTTGGTCGTTCTTAGAGGTGTTACCTTCATTGACTCAAAGTTACGTGATTTTTCGCAAACAATTTTAATTATAGACTGTCATTCTCTTGGTATTGAAATGCTCCTTGTGTTGATGTCGTGAAAACTGGATGGGTAAATAAAATTTTACGTTAATAGAAATTATCCCTTCTAATATAATTATGTGTGAAACGAAATGTACCAACTATGTATGATATAGTTATTTTAAATAAATAAAAAATTATGTTTTTAAGTTAGCATTTAATTTTTTTTTCTTCATAAAAATCAGCTGTAAAAGATGAGAAGGGATTTGTTTGTTTGAGATGCTGAGTTTTTTCTAATTAACTTTTTTTTATATACTTAAAATAACTAAAAGTAATCCAACAAAATTTACTGATTTATCAAAAATAAATCATTCAACTCTGATTACTAAATTATCGTATTTAGTGCAATTTGACTACAACATGAGGTTGTAGATATCTGAGAGATTATCAGAAATAATTCTTTAAATAAAAACCAAGCAAATATGTAGAATTCATTTTAAACTACTTATTTGTTTTGATATTTTATTGTGTTTCCTTATTTGACCTTTTCCTCATCTTGTGCAGAGATTTCGACCAATTGCTGGGAGAGGTTTTTTTAAGGTCTCTGCTAAAGTCCATGAAAAAAATACATTGCCTCCCTAAAGTGGTTGTGAATAGAGATCGCTACCATGGGTGCCACTCTTCAGTCCTGGGGACTGAAATCAGTCTTGAGAAAAATCAATAGACTTATAAATTCTACCAATTAAATTAAATTTTCTTTTTTGTTCATTAGGAATGTAAAAAATTTTTTGGTCAAAATAAAAAAATTATTATATATCTTAATGAAAACGTATGATGTAGTAATAATGTCAGGACTTTTATTTATCTTCTTTTTGTCAGCTTCACTAAATCTTATTCTTAAAGTCTTGACAAATGGAATTGATTGAACTTCATCTACTTGTGTAATTAAATTTGTACTATTACTGAATCTAAATCTGTTCAAGTTTGCTTCCCCCACAATAACCTATTGTGATGCTGGCCAAAGTTAAATCAAGATTACTTTTTTTAAAAGGAAAGAAGTTATAGTGCTAGAACAAAAAATAAGTAACTGTTAAGTGAAAAATGGAGATGAATGGTTTAGGTTGTTCAGTAATAGTTGTAAAAAAATATACAAGGCTACCTCTTATTTTCGTTTTGTTTGCTAAAAAAAAACATAAAATAAAGAGAAAAACAATTTTGAAAAAATAATCAAATGATTGGTTTAATATGTAGGCTATTATCAAGGGAAAGTAAATTTTGGTGTCAGTGAGCTATGAATTTCTAAAGGTTTGGTAAACAACGCTAGACGGTATTATTTGGTCAAAAAATAACTTCAGTCTTGAAATTTTTTTTAGAGTGGCACCCCTGATCGCTACATAGAGGTGATCTTTCCTGGAGGTTTAACTGTATATTGCATTTTAATGCAGGGCAACAGTTTTATTAAACAGATGTAGAATTGTAATTTATTAATGTTCAATCTTTAACTTTCTTCCAAGCAATAGCAATAATTATACCAATTATTTTCTTATATTCAACAACTTTTAAGAAATAGGTTAAAGATTATATTTCGTCTGCTAAATTTCTATCTTATTTAAAAAAGGAAAATTGACTTCAAATTTTTATATTATTAATTTTTTTTTCTTTAAAACACATTCCAATAAACTGTAATAAGGTACTACATTTAAATTCTTCATTATTTAGTTTATTTTTATTATAGTGTTCAATTGCTTACAAGTATAAAATATTTAAAGGTTTACACAGTTGTAAAAGCTTAAATATTATATAACAAAGCAAATATTTGGTTGAGCCAAAATTAGATGTCTCTTTTTTTCTCTTATTAATCAATGAAATATTTTATTTTTATCCATCGAAAATAATTTTTCCTAATTGCTAATATTTATTGAAGAATAGTTAATGTATAATTTATTGTATAGTAATTTTATTTATTTATTTTTGAATAAGAGAGAAATCATATTTTTACTACTGTTAAACTTCTAATTGTTTTGTTTACTGATTACTTCTTTGCCTTTAAACAATTTTCCCTTATAAATTTAACACTAGAAAGACAAAAGAAGCCAAATTAACCCCTTTCATATTTTTTTTGGTTTCTCTATAAGACAATTACAGTCTTTTTTTTTAATAATTTAATTCTTCATGCATTCAGAATTCCTTGAAACTCTCAAAAAACACTTTATTACTTTACTTGTACCATTTGTAAAGTTTCTTGTAAGCAAAAAACATGTACTTTCCATAAACATAATTTTATTATACCACACTTGTCCATCTGCCGTTCATTTTTTACAATAGCTGTGCTATGAAACCCAATACATTCTAGCTTTCATTTGATTTTTTGTGATTAAATCCTACTATTTCACATGGTCAATAACTAACTGTATTATAAATTTTGCCCTAATGAAAATGTGGGTTTGATATAATGTATTTTTATAATGTTAAAATTCAATGGTACCCACTGAAACATTGTTAATAGTTGACAAAATTTTCTAGTTCTGAATATTTAAGATTTTTTAGTTCAGTAAAAAGGTGTTAGAATGGTATGATGTAAGTGATATCAAAACTAAAATAGCCTTAGCAGATGGAGGCAGCACATGTGGCCTCATAACGAATCAGGAATCGTTTTTGATTGCATTACTTACAGAGGTCTTTTTTGAATTTAAATGTTTAATAACTAAATAAGTAAACATTTGGCAAAAGAAAACAATTTTACTTTTGGTTTTAGGAGAGAATTTCCAATAAGTTAGGATTGAAAAAAAAATTAAGAGATGCTGTACTTGTTCATTTAAACACTAACTTACTGAAAGTGCTGAGTATTTCTGACCTTCCATAAATTGTTCCAATTTAAGTGCTTATTTAATCATTCATGTCTTAGCAATATAGAAACATGTTAAAAATACAGTGTTTAATTAAATCAAATATTTTCATTAACTAATTAGAATGAAATACCACAGAATTTCAATGATCAAGCCTATAATATATTTTTATTAAATAATTATATTAAGATTTTGGATGTCTAATCACTAGCCCCCTCAGTCTTTTTAAGGTATACAGCAATGTTCAGTTTTTCTAGTGTTAAAAATTATGCAATATTTTCTCCCAGAACTTTATTTATTTTATATGTTTTCATTATTATTACAGGACTGTCAACTTTCTACGCTTTTTTTCAAATATTTATTCTAGTGCTACATTAGTTTATGTTTTAGGATATTATTTTCTATTTATTTTAGCCAATTTTTCATGCCAATACTCATAAATTCGTTCATATGCAATGCGATTTTGTTCCAGGTCTTTTGTTTTAAGGCTGTTGGCAAATTTAACAAAAATTTTTAAAGCTTTGATTTTTAAATGTCCACCACTTTATAAAATATTTTTTAAAATGCGTATACGCTGGCAGACCTGTTATTATTTTCAGCATAAAAATAAGCAAACAGCTTCTGTCATTTGTTTATCTAATGTGTTATAATTTGATTTTTTTATTTTGCAGTTATAATTCGAGAATTTATGGGAACGAAGTTCATCAATATTGTATATTGAAATTCAACATTTATGTATGTCAAATACTTTTGTAGATTATATGTGTAAAAAAAACATTATTAAAGGTATAAATGTATTTAAATAAATGTTTTCAATTTACATGTTTGTCTTTATTTATCAAAATTCTATTTTTTGAAATCTATCTTATATTTTTTGTAAATTATACTTATAAACTATAGGAAATTTTTGTTTCTCTTCAATCTTAATGTTAAATTAAAAATAAATTATGGAATGCTATCTTGTTTTAAATGTAGGAAAAAACTTTCTGTAAGTTAGGGTCCACCAAATGATTAGAGTCTCAAGCTTTAATTTTGCTTGATTTAATTTCAATATTATAATAAGACTTCTACATAATCATAGCCGATATTGACATAGTATTCCATACAATAAAACTTTATATATTATTTTCAAATGTAAATTGGACTAACGAAAAGATGTTCTAGAAATATTTACCTCTTATTAAACTAACAAAACCGTTCATTCAATAATCTTTCAAGTTAATGATTTCTTAATTATGTCGAAGAAAGAATTGGAGGAATATGCAACTCTTAAGTAACAATTTTCATCTTAAAGCTGATATGACAACAAACACCTTTTTCTGAACCAAACTGCTGTTAGATATGCAAATTGTACAGATTATTCATTTAGAATTATTTTATAAGAGGCTTTTTTTAAAGTGATATAAATGTCAAATGAATGAAATAACTTTTTTTTAGTTTAGTAAACAACTTCCGTTCAGTGTTATGATAGCTTAAATATCCTGCATACTACAATGCGTATGCTATGTGGGGCAAATCTGAAAAACTTTATAAAAATGAACTCATGAAACTGAAACTCATTATAAAAATCCAGCATAATATGGTGGGTATACTTTATAAGCCCAACATAAATCATAGCACTATGGTGGGATTGCTGTCCCGTTTTAAAAATTCATCTTGCAATGATAGGAATGCTGTGTCGGACGATTTTAGAAACCCCCATCTGCGATTATAAAAATCCATCATGATATGATGGGAATGCTGTGTTGGCACATTAAAAAAAGTCCATCATGACATGATGGAATTGCTATGCCTGCCCATTATAAAAATCCATCATGACATGATGGGATTGCTATGGTGGCCCACTATAGAAATCCATAATGCTATGTTAGGATAGCTATGGTGGCCCATCATAAAAAAACCATCATTACATGATGGGAATGCTATGTTGGCCCACTATGGCAATCCATCATGATATGATGGGAATTCTATGGTGGCTCATCATTAAAAAACCATCATGACATGATGGGAATGATATGTTGGCCCACTATAGAAATCCATCATGATATGATGGAAATGCTATGTTGGCCCATCATTAAAAACCATCATGACATGATGGGAATGCTATGTTGGCCCAACATAAAAAGGTGCCAATTCCTACCTTGGGATGATGGGAATGTTTGATGGGTCCCATCAAGCTGGATGATGGTTTTTGATGGGAATTCAAGTTGGTAACCATCATATTTAAGTTGGTCCAACAAAGGAAAACCATCTTGATTTTTTGTCTTGGGAAGGTCCGATACCGTGCCGTTAGTTAAC